GGCGCGGGACCTCTCGCGCCTCTCTCCGATTGGCCGAGCGGACCCCGCTCGGGCGTAACCAACCCCGTGCGCCGGCAGACATGGCCGTAGAATGGCTGCGGCTCTCTCGGCGGCGTACGGGACGCTTCTGTCGTTGCTACTGCTTCTGCTGCTTCTGCCGGCGTGTTGTTGCTCGAAATAGCCTGCCGCCTGATTCTCCTCGTCTCTGACGAGCCGCTATCGATCCCTGTTCGGCGTATACCGACGAGAAGAGTGCCTCGCGAAATGCCACAGGTTTCACGAGAATCTTTGCCTCTCTCGCGCCCGCGAAATACAACTCGCTTCCCCTCCTCTTTTATTCTCCCTTCGAACGGTGCATCTCCATCGCACTCTCTCTCCTCCTCGCTCCGTCTTCTTCGTTCTTGTTTCTCTCTTTGTCTCGTGCAGTTCACCGGATCCTTCTCGCGACGACCGAGCCACCGCTCTTTTTATCCGTCCCGTTTCTTCCCGACGAACGTTCTTCGATCATCTTTCTCGCTCGCACCGTTATTCGCACCGATAGCACACGTAAAGTATCCCTTGCGCTGGTGTGCGTACGCGCCCTCTGTTCGACTCGCGGGACATAACCTTATCGCGAGGCTCGTTTTGTGACGGAGGCGTGTACCGAGGCGACGCGTTGCTTTCTATCGATTAAAGACCTCTCCGCGTTATTGTTCGATGGTTTAAAGGACCGATGCGTTGGCTAGCTATTTTTTCGCTCGGTTACTAACCGCTGAAGGTATTGTTCTAGGAAGATGCATAGTTATTGTTTGTGAGCACCGATTCCATTGCGATTGACAAGTTTCTGACGTACGACGAACCCCGAGGTTTGTTCCTTACTGTAAACAATGCCGGCGGATTTGCATACGGGTGGTGAACTCGGTCTCCCTATATCCCTCACGTTTTATACGATATAATGTTAGATTCACTTTTATTTCTGCATTGACTGTAATGGAATTTGGACGGAGTGTGCAATTCATTTATTTTAATCAGGGGTACTATTTAAGAACACTGACAATTGCAATTAGGGATTTAAGATACTCGAATGCTATAGATATTATAGAGCTATTTGGAACCTAAGGATATTGAAAAATCTAAGGATACTCAGGTTCAGAGAGTATTGACAACTAGTTGTGTCAAGATGAAGGGATGTTGAAATGTAGAGATAGTAGCATTAAGAAAAAATATGTTACATGTTTTCCAGAACAGTAAGACTCCGAAATTATAAATATTTTTCAAAAATAACTCAGAACTGTTTCTGTAAATTTTCATAATGTTAGCTTGAAAATTGCTTCTCATGAATTGTATCACTTTCCTTGCAAGTAAAAAATATAACTCATGTTTCCAATCAAAAATTAGTAACGCCTCACGTCTCTTAAAAACCAAGTCCATCAGCGATAAAAAAGGTACACGTTTTCGAACTAACATGATGTATCGAATGATCGCGAATGTGTTACATAAGATTTGATCCCGATCCTGTTAGAAATTCCACAGGATTTACAACGTAATCCGAAACGCGTGTCACAAAAAAATGTTACGGTTGTCCGCGTGCCGCCATAATTAGCAGTAAACAAGTGGCCTCTATAAATTATATCACGGTGGACTGGTTAAGCTTATTACGAGGGTCGGCCATAGACTACTGAAAAGCTGTCAAGATTATTATAGGGTCCCGTGAAAAATCGACCGCCACTTAAATGTGTCAATTCGTAACGGGGCGCCTGAGCAAGTATAGTCCTTTATTATCCTTTCCGCTCCTTCTTTTCTAAGTAGTAATTGTACACTTTTACAGCACTATACATTTTAATTCGTGTTCGATTTTTAATAGCAATAGTACAATTCGTTTTCTGATTTTCGAATAAGTCAAAACTTTCAGCTTATTTTAAATTACAAAATTCTTATTATTTATATTATGAAGATATTTCATAAAACTGAAGAATTGTATGGGCTTTATGTTTTATCCTTTATTTACCTTTATTTCTTTATTTTTAAATAATTTCAAAAATAAATATCGAAGTAACTATACGTCTTAAGAACTATTTTAGAAAATTTTTCAATCGTGACTTAAAGGATGTACATGGTAAAAGGAATTATTAATTCGCCGTTTTATTTCGCTCATTTACGCTGAAACGCTACTATAAAAGTAAACTATGACTTGTATGATTACCTACGACCGATCGTACGTTACCGCCGATATCAAAATACTTCTCTTTCAATGCATCCCGTTATTATTGTGCCATAAATCCACCGCCGAAGACGGATACATGAAATTTCGTAATCGCGTGAATCCTCAAGCCTCGAATTCCTTGCACGTTTTATTCGCGACTCGAACATGCAGTAAATTGTATTACGCTAATTCCTCAAGAGGCAGTATAATGCGGTAATACGCAATAACTGTACGGGAATTAATTAACGAGGAATTAATGCCACTTCGCAAATCAACTTCTACTTAACCCCTAAATATTTTGTTTATAATGCGTTTCAGCGAATATTGAAAAAAAAATCTTGTTTTTTTTTAACGCTTGCGAAATACGAACTTATTTTTTATTTGGACACAGAGATGATTCTGAAATATATTTCATAATTGATTTTATTGAAATAAGAATATATGGTACAAAAATTTGATGAAAAGTATTAGCAGGTTCTGTTATCCCCCATCTTGTTTCGAACAGGAGGAACAAAGAAGTCCTCTCCAAAAAAACTTTCCTTTGTCCTAATCCTCAGATCTCCTGATTTAATTTTTAGAAATTTGATAATTTAGAAATTTAGCATTTTGATAATTTAGAAATTTGCAAAGAAGATTTTTGAACCTTGTAAATTCTAATGATAGCAAAATATTTGTATTCGTCTTACGAGACCACGAGGTTAGTTCCATGAACAAAGAAATACGATCAGTTTTTCTTGTTGACTGACGTGGTGATTGTACTTGCGACAAAAAAATATATGTCACAGATATGACAGGCTATTCGTTCCTACGCAATGTCGAGCCATTGTTCTGCGGCTAGCTCGTCCGGCTCGACAAGACGATAAATGGGAAAAATAAACGTAGCCTACGAGTTTATGACCTTCCGCATACGGTAATTATTATTGGTTTTCCATCAGAGTCGTTTAGCTCATTCAAGCTTTCAAGCGACAAACTTACGAATTGAGACTTCAAACTCTCGAATTTTAAGATTTTCTAATTTTTCAATTCTCAAAATTTCGAATCCTAAAAATGTTACATCAATGTATAAAATAAATTAAAAGTACTTTCCGAGTTCCGTAATTGGTATATTCACTGCGGCTGACTACATACTGAACTATTCTACTTCACTCTAGTTTCAAAATACTACCGCTACGATATGTACGTGCAAATAAATGGAGATAGAATTCAATAAACACATGCAAAGTCTGAAAGATATACGCTATTTTATTTTATATTACAATTAATAAAAGGAATTTTACCTCTACTTTTACTATGATCTATGGCAGTCTAAATCAAGATGAATAAAAATTTAAAGCATTTTATTATTATCTACAAACAATTATTGTTTCAGAGTGTATATCTAATGTACATTGTTCTATAGTATTAAGATAACAATATTTAACAATGTAACAAAATGTACATAACTTTCAATTGCTCTACTTTTAATAAATTGTATAATAAATAGCAATACTTTCGTTTTCTTTGTAAACTGATCAAGCCTCAGATATATTTTTGGTAAATCCTACATCTTTGTATATGTGTTTTACAGCAGTGGTCATTTAGGATAATATCCTATCCACTTTCTGTATGTCATATTCATTGCTTCTTCCACTGCAGTATCTATAGGGTGTATTATAAAAGGTATGGATATTAGACCAACAATTGTGGGAATCCATCGATTTCTTAAGGCCACATTTCTCTTTTGTACATATTGAACAGCTCTGCAGATTCTATTAATTGTAAAGCCAGGAATGATCACAGATGCAAATGACTGCCACAATAAGGTGTCAGTCATAGAAATTAATACATTTTTTGTTGCATTTGGATTAACATTGTCCTGAAACATAATATATCATGAATTACACAATTTTTACATTAAATAACTTTCTTTATATTTAACTTACACGATAAGTCTTTAAACTTTTATCAATTGTATCTGCAAGCACATATCCAGAGGCCACAATGTAACTGGACCATACAACTGACTTTGGGACTATGGACCTAAAAGCTTCTCCAACCTCATTTGCATATCCTAAAAAAATAATTATTTTGTAATATTGATTATTTTGTTTCGTGCAGCTGTATAAAAATAAAATAGATGCATAAATCATAACGTGTTTCATTCACAGCAGTCCTTATAGTAAAGCCATTCAACATAACATAAAATAATTATAAAGTTAAGACATTAACTACAAGCATCAATTCAGAAAGACAACTAATTAAAAATCAAATGAATCAATGAAAAGTTAGATAACAGCACTTGATAACCTGTTCTTTATTACCCAGGTATCTGACAGGCGTGTCCCGATATATGTCCACCTTTCCTTGCATTTCCTTCATAATAAAATATTTGTTTTTTTAAATATGTTTTATGTTGGAAGATATAACCTAACTTAACGTGTTGGAAGCATGTTTGAACTGGTAGACTATTGGCACGATCTGATTCATATAAAAAAAGATATAAATTATATTTTTACTGATTAAATACAAATCCGGTAAACTATTTAAAAAAAGAAAACAATCGGTTTAATTGAATTATAAAGTGGAATGTAAAAAGGGAGAGCCCTTTAAATATAAGCAAGTATGGCGCTCAATCCAATTATCTGGTTGTACAACATAACCTTGCTATGTTCTTTCAATCAAAGAAATTTTATCTTAAATTTTGAAGAGACGACTCACTCTTCCAGAAGTATGGCAGGACCGTGATATTTGTAAGTGAAATAGATCGTAATTGTCGTTCAAAATGGTAGATCTCGATTTGATTAGAGAATACTTTAGTATGCAAGTTAACGAAATAATTTGTTGGTGGTGGTATTACATTAAAGAAATTTCATGGCAATTGTTAATAGCTATTGTCGCGTACCTTTGCGTTTGTATTTTTCTCTATTCGATCTTGAAGAAAGTTAGCCACACAGCGTGGCAGCTTCCAGGTCCGCCTGCCAGAATATTGTTAGTCACGGCTCATCCTGATGATGAAGTCATGTTCTTTGGACCACTATTATATTGGATCACAAAATCAAAGACTAGCGAAATTTATTTACTATGTCTTAGCAATGGTATGCAAAAAATATAACTTATTGATAAAGTAAATGTTACATTTATAAATAGCATACGTCAATAATTTTTCTTGTAGGTGGAGACAAAAGAAGAAAAGGAGAATTATGGGATTGTGCAAAAATATTAGGAATTCCAGAAGCTAATGTGACTATAGTAATGTGAGAAATGTTTTCGTTTACTTAATCCATAAAACAAGTTATCATTTATTTGAATATGATCAAAAACTATCCTTTTAATCTTCTATCTTAGTTCAATAAATACATGTATAGGAGCACAGAGTTACCTGATGATCAAAATGTACAATGGCCAACAGAGGTAGTGGCAGAATGTATTTTACAACACCTAGAGTGTTATAAAATTAATGCAGTAGTAACATTTGATAAGTATGGCATAAGCCGTCACAAAAATCATATCTCCTTATATTATGCCATAGCTGCATTATGTATAGAAAAAAAAGTACCACACTGTTAGTATTTCTTCTGTTTATTAAATCAAGATTAATGGAATACTGATGTAATCTCTTTGCAGATTGTAAACTATATGTGTTAGAATCTGTGAATATAATTAGAAAATATATGCAACTCCTAGATTTACCAATTAGTTTATTATGTGCTTCATATTGGTATTTAGTGACATATGATCAAAGGAAAGTCATAAGAGTGAGTAATTACTTTGCCCAATTTCATGGGGATACAAAGCTGTAAATAGAAAGTTTTTGGAATTCTGTTTTTTGTTTCATAGAATGCCATGACTGCCCACAAGTCTCAATATGTATGGTTCCGGAAGTTGTATATGATATTTTCGCGATATACATTCATCAACACTTTACAAGAAGTGAGTGCTCTTGATTTGGAGTTGGACCTCCAATTTGATGATGAGTAAGTCATGCTTAGTCATAAATTTGTACAAACTGTAATTAATTGTACATAATAAACCGCGATCTTTATCTACTAATGTATAATAAAATTTAATTGGATTGTCGAAGTACTTTTAACACGTTCACTGCCGGTTGGAGTCACCATCATATGAACGACATAGTCAAGCGATTCCGATGCGGCCAGCAGCGAACGTGTTACAGTATTCTTAAAAATTACACGTACGCATCGAATAGAAAGTATTTTTTATTTGATCTTACAAGAATATACAAATATTTAAAAACAATAATATAGAACAAACTTAATAATAAATCCATTTTTCTCATACAGTTACATCATCATAACTTTGTATAAATGAAATTTAATGTTCAATTTGATATGTATTTATGGAATGTGCGTAATACAGTATCTTTTTTAAACTTACCATATAATAATAAAGAGCCGAAATTATGAAGTAATTTGAGCAATTATGAAATTATTGCAAATTGAACTTGTTACATAATTTTAAGTATATTTACGTTAAGTTTTGTCTCCCAATAATAACACGTAATATATGTGATTATTTTCTTTTCCATATAGATATAGATTTAAATTGCATAAATTTGGCACAGTTATGTCTTGTGCATTAAAAATACAATCTGAACTAATTTGCTATTGTCTTCTCTGATAATTAACATTACATTTAATCTCTTCAGGTAATTGTAAAAGAGTGATAGATCTATGATATATAATACTTAATTTATTCATACTGGAAGAAAATGTAATTGTTCAAAGCGCAGTTTGTGAATATATTTCTTTTTTTTCACTTCAATCTTTCTTTTTTCACTTTCCCTCCAGCATGATTACTTCACTCTAACTTATAAAAAAAGAACTGTATTTTCATCAAACAAATTTTAGTATTACTGATACGAATACCACTTAACAATATAATTTGTATTTATAAACAGTCTTATAAACACATCGTTAATCGAAATTTTAACACGAAGTAATACTTTTAGTGCATATATTATGTACCTAATTCAATAATATGTATATATTTTAATATATCAATCAATTTAAAAAGTATACTCTGTGCGTTTCTATATCTTAAACCTTCGCGTATACTCACTATACATTTGCGTTCAAAATAAAATATTCTATCTCCGTATAAATATAAATTATGGAATGTTCTCGTGTATGTATTGAACTTCAACGATATAAATGAAATTTCACTTACTTCTAATCACTTAATCAATTTGTGACTTTGAAACAAAATAAATGCTTACAAGACAGTCGCAGAAAATGGACGGCATGAAGTGTTCCCGCAAGATCCTCGGTCAGTAAACTACTGTAATGACAACTGATTAGTAGAATACTGAGTTTAGGTACGTAGAGAAGAACAACACCAAAATCTCATCAATCCTTCTAGAGAAAAGAGTCTCGTAAACAGGAATGATTGATTATAAAGGATTCATCGCGAAGATCTCGCGGGCCGTATCCTAGAACCTGTCCTTAGAACGATGCGAACTTAATGTTCCCATACCGGGCTGAGGAGAGTCTGGGTCTCCAGGATCTTGTAGATATTGAAGTTCCTGTAGTTCTTGGAATTTCTCGTGATCTCTGATATGTGCGTAATTTGCAGACAAACACATTAAATAGTGTATCAAACTTAAAACCACCAACATTGTAGCTACTGTGGCCAAAATGAACATCACCACTGCTCTTTCAACAAAATCTTTACAGAACAATTTTACTTCTTGTGGTCCACATACTTTCATGTCCTCTATTCTTGTATTATTTGGGAATATGAAACCTGTAATAATTAGATTATGTATACAATTTTTTTTATCTATAAAAAATTTTTTTATCTATAATTCAAAGAAACTTACTGAATTGAGTGAAATCAATACACTGTTCATATTTTGAAACACCAGGATTGTTGCATAATCCCCAGAATATAGTGAAAACCCATGTAATTATAACCAAGAATGCAAAGATTACGAGCCAACCTAGTTGAAGTATGTATGTGATTGTCATGAACTGAAAAACAGAACATATACTGTATTGTGTTACTTCTCTTCTAGAAGTATGTGGTAAAAGAAATACATACAACAGCACAAGAAATACGTCCACCGACTCTGGATCTCCATGCTTTGTATACTTTATGTCTAGTAGCTCCAGTTGCTAGACAACCAACACACAATATCATAAAACCTAAAGCTGCCATACAAGCACCAATTGTTGCAAAAGTTAGCTGCACAGCTTCTAACCACCCAAGTCGTAAATGAAATACCTTATAAATATATAATTATTAGTAAACATTTTAAATGTACAATAAAGTGTGTCCCAACATTGCAAAAAGTTACTAAATCCTACCTGATCCATCATTAAAGATCCCAATGTAACACCTCTGTACATTGTACCACAAAATATGCCCACTCCCAAGCAACACATTATAGTTGCAATAAGAGTTGCATATGGTACTCTGGACATACAATCATTGCACACGTTCCCTGGAAAAGGTAAATATTGTTTCTATAAATGAAACTATCCTTAAGATTTGTCACTGGACTGTGCTATAGGATATATATTTCTAAAAAGTATAAACTTACTACAAGACCGATCTTCACTATCAAGATCATGAAGACTTTTTTCAGAAAATCTATCAATACTAATATTACTTTCAAATCGTCTACGCAATGGTAAACTATCAATTATGTCTTGTTGATCTCTCATCTTTAACTATAAGTGACTTAAACACCTGTTCGAACGAGGCGTGAAACGATGACTGAACCAATGAATGAGTAATCTTGTATATAATATATATAGATAAGATTACGATGTGCATCGTACGCGTTTTTCTACGATATCTAATTCTGAGTAACGAGGGTTGAAATTCAGTAAGAAGCGCCTTTTCTCAAACAAAATATATTCTGAAGTATATAAAGTTTACTTACCCATGTTTCGAGTTTATTGTTGTTCAGGGTTAGAATAGTTATAAATGGACACTGTCCGTAGCTGACTGAGAATATAATGTTAGAATTCTCTCACTTATTGTTGCAATTGAATGTCGTTCCGCTGTATTAGTGAATAACATCCCACGTCCCACACACTTCTCTTAATTATACATCCGCACGTCATACCACTCATTTATGAAGACCTCATTTGTTGAAGACCCTTCCAGTACTTCAGACAAACTGTTGCATATTGATTTTCAGAAACGAAAATAATTTTGTGTATTTTATGTATGGAACTTGAAAGAAAACTTTGAAACAGAATGAAGTGTATGGTGCTGGTAACCGTTTAAGTTACAGATTTTTAATTCTACAATATCGTTTCTGTGTTTTTCAATGACCCTTTAAAACGAGTCAAGATGGCGACGGGAGGTAAAAGTGAATGGGACGTTGGCCTCATACAACCTTACGGATAATTAGAGGGAATGCTAAAACGTAGTAAATCAAATTCAGTATTTTCTTGACAGAAATTTACTAAAATTTTAATTCATATTTTGATAGCAATTTTCAAAACTACAAATTCCCAAATTCTGAGGTTTTAGAGGTCCATTTGATCACAATAGACACATACACACATAACACAAACATAAAAATATTAAAATATATATTTTTTATTATACTTAAAAAGTCCATCATGTTGTAAGTAGGTAATATAATATACTTTATAAATCTATAAAAATAATTATTTCTATTATAATTATACTACTCTAAATCTATATTCTATACAAAATATTCAATTCCCTAAATATATAATATAGTAACAACTACCGGATATTCTTGTGCTTCGGTTGAACAAGATATTTAATAACTACCGGCAGATGACGTAATTTTTCCCTAACAATATGTGGCACTTCCGAGTTTTGTTGGTAATTTTGATTATATTTTGTAACCATACCATTGTTACTCTCGTAAACTATGCCACCACCATAGGTTTGAGGACTTACCTAAAAATATCACATACAGTTAATCAAGATATTCTCGTTGTATAAAAATAAGTACTTACAGTCAAAGCAGAACCATCCTTATAATCAACGCGAATATCTCCAGAAGATAACTGCGTCGCAGTACCTATACCCGGGATCATTATCTTATAAGTATTAGTGTTTAAATTACTTATAGAATTCATTTTTCGCGACCGCGATGCTACCGTTGAAATGACAGAACTAGCATCAAAAGATGGCATCTGAAACACCAAACAGTGGATTACATTTTGCAAGAAACTTATATACATTTTCTTGAAGACCACATACCACAGGTGTACTGTTCGTAGTCTGCGAAACATTTTCTTTTCCTTGCATGCAAGGCGAATCATTTAAGGCCGTACTAGGCCTACGTCCAATTATAACAGGAAAACAAGAATGTCCAGTAGCAGCTTCTAGAGACGTTAACGTAGATTCGAGCAATAAGCACCGCTGATAGCACTCCGAATAATGTTCATAATATTCATCAAAATGAGGCGGAAATTCACCTTCTATATAAGTAGGACCGTCACTTCGTTCAGATATTTTTACGTTACCGTCAACGCGCACAACCTGCAGCAACGATCAAAGTCATTATCTATCGATCACCAACATAAAAATCATAATTATTTTACCTTTACTCCATTATAGAAGTGGACTTCACAATCCGGATGTGGTCCATTTTCCATAAAAAGGCACTTTGATCGTTGCGTATATAGCGTTAGTTTTGGCGTTTTAGCTCTTACAAGTTTTATAAAACGTGAGGCATACACGTATTTCCTATGATGACGTAAGGGTAAATTTTCATAGGAGTAAATGCTATCTGCACCACGAGCTGGTAATGGGGGTGGTTGATTACCCACTTCCGTTGAAGCAACTGGTTTATACAGAATAACTCTTAAGCCATCACCCGATATACGACACACTTCGCTTATTTTTTCCTGTGACCAATGAACAATTACATTACAATGATTCATTACACTTATTTTAATTCTTTATACATACCACACCATTCCGACGTTTAATAAATTCAATGCACACTTCTCCGTTGTCTAGAATAGTAAGGATCGCATTTTTCGTTCTATGTCTAGTAGGTTGAAGTCTCTCTGAACATAAAGGCGAGACTTGTAATTTTCCGCCGTCTTCAGTATTCTCAAAACAATGCTCAGTCTTTTCCTTTTTTCTATATTTCTCCTTCTTCTGTTTCTCGCTGTCTTCATACGCGTCGCAATTACTATATTCATTCTGTGAAAACACCCTACTTTGGGGCGGTGGTGGAATTCCTGTCAATACAGAATTCTCTTTTGCACGATAATCAACACAATTTGCCTTATATAAATTTGTCTTTGTAATGGGTTCGGATAAAGCTTCGCTCCTTGTACTGAACATTGGCCCAAGTCCATTGGACATCATAGGCGCCGTTGACATTCGTTCTTCGGACTTGGAACGCATTCTCGGTCTCCCGTAGGAAGACAACGTTCTTCCGACTCCTGAATCGAGCATACCATCCACCAATAATCCTTTACCCATACCATTTTTCTCCTATCAATGTGAATATTTAATATAATTGGAGGATCAATTTGTATATAAAACGTATTGTGTAGATAACTTACATTCATCAATTTGTTCCTTTCTAAATTAATTATAAATGGATGTTTCGGAATGTCGCGCAAACGAATTCTATCTTTCGGATTTTTTTTTAATAACTTATCAATGAGATCTTTAGCATTGTCTGATAAATGAGCCGGCATTACATAATCAGCCATCACAACGCGCGTTAAAGTACTCTTAACAGCATCAGTATCAAATGGTGGTTTGCCAACCAGTAAGGTATATAACATACATCCTAAACTCCATACATCTGCTTCCAAACCATGTGATGATCTTGTTGCTATCTATATACAGACAAATATGTTCTATCTACACCAACCTTCTGCACAAAAGTTTTTACATAAATTACTTAACAAACCTCAGGTGATATATAATTAGGAGTACCACACATTGTTAAGTGTTTCTCATCAGGCCTTGTCAATTGAGTAGCCAACCCAAAATCTGCTATTTTCTATAAATTAAAATTTAATTGTGCTTACTGCTTCTAGATCAGTCTAAGAAGGTCGACAACATATTCATTTTTCTTACCACTTGCATATCTCTGGTTAGAAGTAAATTAGACAAGGACATATCTCTATGAAGTATTTGGTGTGAATGTAAATATAATAAACCCTGTACTACTTGTCTAATTATACGACCAGCTGAAACAAGAAGACTTTGTGCAATATATGTGAAACTATCACTTGCTTTCACACTTATATTATAGGTACCTTGCTCTTCAGGTAATGCATTAGAGCCTTGCAATTTAAGAAAACGTTGAAGCTCTCCATTATGACACAATTCTAATACCAAATAAACATAATTGGCATCTTCAAAAAATGTATATAATTCAAGTACTGCTGGATGTTTCAATCTAGAATGTATTGCTACTTCTTGACGCACTCTACCCACCATCCCAGCAGCCTGCATCAACTTTTTGTCGATCTAGAGAGATATTAATATGCATACATAAATCACATACAATTAATCGGAGGAATTTTGAACGACGCGTCAGTATTTAACCTAAAAAAAAATGATTTACCATTTTTATCGCAACTTCCATGCCGCTGCGAAGACATTTTGCTCGATATACACTAGCAAAGCCACCCTTTCCAAGTAAATTTAATACCTCGTAATCCTGTAATTGAGTGTAATTAAATCGAAAGTTCCAATAAGAGGATGAGCGTATAAATTTGAAAAGCTAACCTCTATCTGTTCACCGAAACCTCCGGATAGCGGTGGCATTTCCAGTAGCCAGGGGATAAAACAATAGGACGGTTTCAATCACCCTGGTCACTAAATAGCACTTTTTCAATACATAAAATTAGGTCGAAATGATATATATTTAGGAAATATATCAGTAAATTTGTAAACAGAGATGACATGGCGCACCCGCCATATATAAATTTTGATACATTTCTTATCATGATAGATGGCACTCGAATAAATGAATGTTTACTACTCTTTACGATATAAATTGTAAATTATAATTATCATTTAAATTAAATGGATGAAACATCCAACGCTGATTAGAGCTGCAGATTTGTTTATTGAAATCAAACAGTTGCGCATTTATATATGCGTCTCAAATAAATAACATAAAAACATGTTTTAATCGATAGAAAGCGATACGAAAATAGTACGGGAGCTTTCTGAATGATACGAAAGAAAAATGCATTGTAACAGATACTGAGCCAGCAAATGAGAAACAATTTTTATAAATTTAAACATATTTTTTTCACAACTGTAATTTACTCTAAATATCTACAATTACAAATTAATTACAAATAATATACAGCACAATTTTTACATTATGCATTTGGATTGAATGTTAATGTTTTAGCGAGAATGGATGAAATATCGAAATGCTGCATTATTTTTTTTTGTTATTAGTATGCAATTATTCTACAATATAAATATTTTGATGTCTAGGTAATATAATAAATACCTTACATTAATGTTTTTAGCCATTAGTTTCACTTTCAGTACATAAGGAAATGAAGGATATAATTATACACATATTAGATGTTTAATTTATGAGTTATTTGTGGCACAAGACTTATTCATGTCGCGTCTTAAACTATTGACCTATTGACTTAAACCACCATACATAAAAAGTATGCCATATTTTTCTTATAAGGTCAATTTTCAAAAATAACACAACTACAATCAATAATTTAGTGAAGTTCAGTACTTTCGCTAAAAACTTTAATGTTACATTAAAGTAAGGTATTGTTCGGAGTATTCATAGGCATAGAGTTCTGGCATCGTTGTGCTGGAGGTTGATAAATGGGCTGTGTACTTCGTTGCTGATTACGTTTCTTATTATAACCACCAGTTTTATTCGCCGGAACGACTCCATTTCCGCCTCTACGAAATTCCATTCCTGCTATAAAAATTTTTGTGAATTAAGTAAGTTCTTACTTATTTTAAGAAAAACAGAAATATCTATCTTTCATTAATTTACCAGTTATATGATTTTGTGTTTGATCATAACGAAGTTGTCTGTTATTAAATCGCTGATCCAACTGCTTTTGATCCAACGCGTAATCTTGAGCAACTTGATGCTAATGTAATTAAAACAAAATGTTTATTACTTGTTCTACATAACAAATGATAAAATTAAGATTACTCTACGTACATCATTTGTTAAAGGTAAACAGTCCACTTGTAGCACTTCTTCATAGTTCTCAAATCCTTTGAATTGAACAACACATGTCCTGTCGGATACACCGGTTACTTTCGCGGTGTAATACTGTATGTTAGAAATATCAATTAAAATAATTATAAAGAATAAATTAATGTTTTAACACGCACATAGATGTATTACTTTACCCTGTTATCTTCCCAGTATTTGGCTAGACATTTGTCACCTACTCGCCAAACCCAAGTACTGCCAACAGAAACATTCGCATTTTGATTGTTACTGTATTGATTTGGACCTCTTTGGCCGTTGGGCCCAATAGTCCCTTTACCACCGGAATTGTCATTCGGTTGAAATCTGTTCAGTTGGTTTTTGTAATTTTTATCAGTTGTACTCGGAGGGTAAGTTCTATGTGTTCCATCTTCTTGTGCTCGATTATGCCTACCGTAAGAAGCATCATAAGTTTGCCTATTCCTGGCATCAAGCTCATGATGATTATAATTCCTGCTAGTACCAAAACTTTTTCCCTGTTGATCTTGTGGAGCTTTATAATAATTACTAGCATTGGTAATATTTGTTCCGTCTGTACGCGCGTGTATACCGGAAGTTCGGGAATCGTTAGATTGAGATTTCTGATACGTTTTAATTCCAGTATCTTGTTGAGGGTGATTATGACTGTCTTGATTCCGTTGGAATCTTGGCGGCTTATTTTGTTGGGAATGGTTTCCTCCATTGTACTGAGAAAATTGTGGAGTTGCAATGCTATTAAAATTTGATTTTTTACTGCTCCTGTTTTCTTCTGAATGCCTTGGGGGTACTTGATATCCACGTCCACCTTTTTGGGCTCTGTTAAAACATTTTTAGTTATTGTTTTAATCACGATACTCAACCGTATTACAAAAATATACCTTCCACTTTTTCCGCCTGGTGCTTCGTTATTTTTAGACTCAATTCTGTCATGACTATTTTCTGTATTTTGTGTATAACTATTCTGGGATGGAATACTTGTTTCCACAGATTCAGACTGCAAAGGTAATTTATCTTCAAGAAAATCAAAAAGAGATATTTTTCCACTACTTGGTTTACTTTCTTCAGATTTCTTTTCGAATCGTTTATTTCGTGGTTCACGCGGTTCGCGAGATTCTTTAAATGTACTGAAATGATTAAAAGTACTGGTAAGAAAGGTTGTTAATATTCAATTTGTTTAAATAGCAGCTGATAGATATACCTATGTTTACTGTCTGCTTTTTGCAAACTTTTCAGAGCTTTATCAACATTATTTCGATTGACTTTTAATGCATATTCTGCCTGTTCTACAGAAAATCCTTGGTCTACTATTTTTTGTACACTGTAATCTAAAAGCTGTGAAATAAATGTATGAATTTAAGAAGCTGCAGAATGCTCATGATCACCTTGATATCCATCTCTTTGCTAGTCCTTAATGTAATATACCTGTTTATTTCCACCACCAAATACTTTCTTGCTACCTTGCTTAGCAGCTTCTGCTATAGCATCCTTACGTTGAGCTTCAAACTCTGCATTTTCTTTACTAGCTTTTTCTTTCTCAGCTAAAGCTTTAAAATTTTTATCATGTTCAGAAACTTTTATAATCTTTTTTCCAAATGGTATCCATGGTGGTGGTCCACCTTCTTCTGTAGACCTTGCTCTTGTATGCAATGCCAATTTCTGTTGTAAAAGGAGATTTGAATTCCATGTATATTAATACATTCACATTCAGCAGTTTGGAGACAAGACTCTTAACCGAACACTAAATCAAGTAACCTACTTTGTTCAGTTCCCATTTTTCCACAAGATTCGTCACTTTTCCTCCAAGCACTTGTGCTATATGTGATGGTCTAAGTAAGATAATTCCATGAGACATTGGTAAACTACCCAACCCAAGCAATATTTTTGTCCCAGGAGGTGTATTTAAACTACAATATAATTAGTTCCATTAAACGTGCTTACTTTCTATATAAATGATACAAGCATGCAATTTTTACCTCAAAAATGAAATATGTTCAACTTCTACAGCTTGATAATTATTTTTACCATCGGTTAAAAATAATTTCAATAAACGTGGAGCTGCACGCGATTCCTCATTGTTTTTAGGGGCAGCAACATTACGTAATTTTTGTATTTGCAACACAATATTACCCTGATTAATATCTCCGAGTCCACTACCAATTTCTCTTAAATCGAGCTACACAAGAAGTAAGGAAATAAAAGTATATCGTTATGTCTATAAGCCAAAATTTAATATACTTACATCCAATAATCGTTTAACGATCTTTTGCAAGTCAGTGATATTTCCAGAATCACTCGCAATAGTATAACCATGGTCTGTAATATACCTAATTAAAATGTTCATATATATTTATGTATCCAAATTTAAAAAGATATTTTGTTCTTTACAGTTTTAACAAACATCACCATGTATTAGTTTCTATACGCACCACCCCTTATCCTTTAACTTTTCCATAATATCCACAGTCATTTTGTTTTTTGAGGCAAATTTTTCCAAAGAAACAATCGGTTCAGTTTGCCAACTTTATTAGGAGAAATTTCATGAGCGTTACATGCATGTATTCAACTTGTACATAAACATGTGTCAGCTGACGTGTAAACCAATAGGAAATATGTTTTTGAAAAATCGACGACTATAAAACCAAAATCGAATGCTTTCGCAGGTATCGAACACCGTTTATTATACGGTTTGATGCCACCTGCTTCTTCGAAGTAACGAACAAAAGGAACCGCGCCTATGGAACCTCCAATTTTCTGCCACCATCTTGAACATTTATTCTACCGTGATTTTAAGATCGATATATCGGTATTGTACAGTAATACGTCACTATCGATACATCGTTTGTTGTTTAAACACTGGCATTGTCATTACTTTAATAATTAGCAACAAATTACCTATCGTGGAATCTTTCAGCATTGCAGACACACAATTTTCGCTTATGTGCTCATTTTACTAATTACACGTATACACAATTTATTTTTTTTCTTCGTTGTTTATTTATTAAAAAATTTAACGGTATTTTGTCTGAAAGAAAGCAATTAAATAAAATAGATGCTTGTAAAAAATTTAAATAATATAAAAGTGTAAAGTTGTGTATAAATATGAGAGAGGTTATGTAATGAAACAAATTCTAAAAGTAATTGTGTTTAATAAGTGCAAAGTGAAACTAATAATGTAATAGAGATTTCAAAAGAGATCGCAAAGAACAATTTGTACAGATTGGTATAATTGCATGTAGTAGATTATTTAAGAATGATAGTGAAAATGATTGCACGAGCAGAAAATAGGTCACGTTTTACGCATCAAGTTCTAAAATCATGTTTCAGCGAATTGTGAGAGCAGCGTTCTTCGAATCCTTGAAATTCCATCGATTGTACAGCCGCTATTCCTACATACATAAATTAAATCTCATATGTAAATTGACTAAAATTTTAGTATCAGGAGAATACTATAGAATGCATAAATTGTGCGTGATTGAAACGTTGAAAAACGAAGCAGAAACCTGTAATAACGCTCGTAAACCAATTACGGTAGTTTCACGAGAGGTCACTATCACCGACAACCTCTATAGTAACGAAGTATAAAAAAGTCATTAACTGCTGATCGGTCCAATTTGAGCTGACGATTATTGCTCGGGTGGAGCTTCGTTTGAACAACGATGGAATTAGATCAGATAGGGACTAACTTAGGAGATGACGGAAGCATATAGGCATGATTAAGAACAAGACCCACCCATATTTCACCAACAATTTACAATTGTTCAAATGTAAAAACACTATTTAAATATAACCTTATCGTGAAGGTAGGCCAGTCTGGATATAAATAACATCGGGGGACATTTATGTTTTTTTTGCGAAATGAAGTTATCACTCGCACGCATTAATTAAATTATGTTCACGATATACAACTTGTTGCTGCTATTTATAAGGATTAACATGAATTACGAAATCGATAATAAAAAAGAACCTGTTTTTGTCTACCTACAGATATTCACATTCACACATATGTATATTCATGTATATGTACATACGTTGTGATGTGAGTTGTATTACATATGCATTATATCACATGTAATCACATCCATGAGTTATTTTATCATATACCGATACGATTGTGTTTCTGCACGTTATATTGCAGTGGAAGTTTACTTCTTGTACGAAATCAACTAACTTTTTACTTTATATCGTTAATGGAATATTTTTGGTTGCATCTACTAGCATTGTAATATCAGAATATAGCAAATTATTATTAAAAGACATGCTACTTATATTATTAATTTTGATGTATTTAAAAACTTATGAACATTTCTACGATGTAGTTAATGTATTAAACCAAGAGACAGATAGAAAGGTGCACGAAATATAGCGAATATCGACCAATTGAAATAAATGACTACATCGATATGCGGACTAGTTGGCGACAACGGAGACCTTACTCATTGTCAGATTAGTGTCCCATATAAAAGTACCTACATACTTGATATCTACTAGCTACACGAGGGTACTTCATCTGGCACGCTACGAGAATACGAGACGTATCTTGGTGCATATATTTCACACGCAATGACTAGAGACGCCATGTACAATCTGGTGCAATGTTGACTTTCTTCAAATTGTTAGAAATGTTGTGGAAAGCGCATTCCGTTTGCTTCAATTTTGGGTCGTGTAGTGCGAAAACATGCGGATTTCTAAATTCCTCATTTAGCTTGTTAAATTAATTGTTTTCAAATTTCCAAAATTCCAAGCTCCTCAAATTCCAAATTCCCCAAATAATAAGCTCCCAAAATTTCAAATTCTCCAAATTCCAAATTCACCAAATTCCAAGTTCCTCAAATTCCAAATTCACCAAATTCCAAATTCTCCAAATTCCAAGTTCCCCAAATTCCAAGTTCCCCAAATTCCAAATTCCCCAAATTCCAAGTTCCCCAAATTCCAAATTCCCCAAATTCCAAGTCCCCCAAATTCCAAATTCACTAAATTCCAAGCTCCCCAAATTCCAAGCTCCCCAAATTCCAAGCTCCCCAAATTCCAAATTCACCAAATTCCAAGCTCCCCAAATTCCAAGTTCCCCAAATTCCAAATTCCCCAAATTCTAAGATCCCAAGTTTCCAAACTCCTCAAATTCCAAACTCCCCCAATTCCAAACTCCCCCAATTCCAAATTCCCCAAATTCCATACTCTCCAAATTCCAAACTCTCTAAGTTCCAAATTCCCCAAATTTCAAGCTTCCCAAATTCCAAGTTTCCCAAATTTCAAACTCCTCTAATTCCAAACTCCTCAAATTCCAAATTCTCAAAATTCCAAACTCTGCAAGTTCCAAATTCCCCAAATTCCAAACTCCCCAAATTCCAAGCTCCCCAAATTCCAAGTTTCCCAAATTTCGACCTCCTCTAGTTCCAAACTCCTCAAATTCCAAACTCTCCAAATTCCAACATTCCTAAATTTCAACCCTCCCAAATTTGAAAATCCTCCGATCCCAAGAAGAATAGCAAAATATTAAATTTGCGAATGTGGGGGTAGCCGGATTTTTCCCGGCGTTGTACCCCACTTTCGGTAGCTCCCTCCCCGGGATTCTCCGCACGTCCGATGGTACAATGGGTACACGCGGCACATAGAAGCGAAGACTGCGTTGTGTACACACAGGTACAGTATGGTAAACGATGACTCGCGGTAGAAAAGGGAGATTCGAATAAGAACATAGAGCGAGAGGTAAAAGGAGTAGGACAGAGCATTTAACAGGGAACGAGGAGAGAAATAATATGTGAAAGAGAGGGAGATAATCAAGGAGACCGAGCAACACAGAAAGCGTTGTAAGAGAGAGAGGGAGAAACAGGGGGAGAAAGAGAGAACTCGAGTCGGTTTTACCATTTCAGTTTCACTCAGACCCGGCCTGAAATCGCGCGTGTCCACAACGATACTTGAGTCGCAGCTTCGTGTCCGAGAGGTTAACGTGCCAATTAACGAAAATCGTGAAACAAATCGGTCAGTGATTTTTATCGTATTAACGAGCAACAGTCAGAGCAGTGTTACGCGAAACGGTGTCACGTTTCATCGACAAAGGAAATTGTTTATCTCTGTGAGAACGAAATAGGGTGCTCGGCATACGACACGATGTGAGTAGAAACCCTTTAACGACTTTCCCGGTTATGCGTTCCAACGTATATCTGTAAGGCGATCGACCTGTAACCAGTTCAAAATTTTCTATTTATTCAAAGCGTCGAGTCTGCAAATTTATCGATGACGAATTCCTGCTCAGCTTTTTTCGGACAAAGGAAAATTCATCAGGAAGTGCAATCTCGATAATTCGTGGATTATGAAGCGTGGTAACGCTCCAATTCGATTTCGACATACGGCGCGCGAACAGGATTACGATTTCGATCGTTCGATCGAAATGTTTAACAAACATGGCGCATGCGTTGAAAAGTACATATTTGAGAAAAAAAATGGGGAAGATGAATGTGGTCATAAATCTTGACCAGAGGTTTTCCAGCATCCATATTGTTACGAGCGTACGTTTGTCGCGACTTTATCTGTGCGTTGTAAATGCGTTGTAGGGGACTGCAGTATGGCACGATTTACATAACTGCGATTATTTAGGTTTGATTCAGGTTTTAATTTGTTGGGGATGCGTAGTTTGCATTCTTATTGCATGACTCAGTATGAGTTATCATTCGTATTTTCGAGTGTTATCTTTACACTTCGCCACGTGTTGGATTTGATGTATTCACACATCATATTTGGTATGGGTTGTTATTGTGTTCTTATATGTTGAATTTGCTATGGGTTGTATTCGTCATGTGTTGTATTCATACATTATATTCGACACGTTGTAAATTTGTGTATTCACACATCATATTAGGGTTGTTTTCATTATTGTGTTCTTGTACGTTGTATTTGCTACGCGTTGCATTCGTCACGTGTTGTATTTGCAATATATTAAACTTCACATGTTGTATATGCAATATATTGAATTCCACATGTTGTATTCGCAATATATTGAATTCTACATGTTGTATTCGCAATATATTGAATTCCACATGTTGTATATGCAATATATTGAATTCCACATGTTGTATTCGCAATATATTGAATTCCACATGTTGTATTCGCAATATATTAAACTCCACATGTTGTATATGCAATATATTGAATTCCACATGTTGTATATGCAATATATTGAATTCCACATGTTGTATATGCAATATATTGAATTCCACATGTTGTATATGCAATATATTGAATTCCACATGTTGTATATGCAATATATTGAATTCCACATGTTGTATATGCAATATATTGAATTCCACATGTTGTATATGCAATATATTGAATTCCACATGTTGTATTCGCAATATATTAAACTCCACATGTTGTATTCGCAATATATTGAATTCCACAGACTGCATTTATTTCTCATTGTATTCACCATGCGTTGTATCCACCATGTGTCGAATACCACACGTATACTAAATTTACGATCGCATATTCACCTGTTGTAAACGTGCCTACCGCAATATTAAAAGAGAAAGTAATCAGCTCTTGCCCAAGGCAATATAACGAGAGTAATAGTATAATCTTATATCGTTAAAACCGTAATGTCTCTTTTAATAAAAAAGTGTATAAGACTTCAGTATATTACAACTTAGAACGTAGTAACGTATGACTCATAAAATGGAAACAAACTATCGAAATTGACATCATCGTGTATACCTGCATCATTGACGCACAGTAAGACGCCCATTTTACGTCGCGGAGTCATGACTTCACGAGAATCGTTTTCTCCGGAGACATTTGCCAAGCATCGTTTGCTAAACGTCTAGCCCGTTAAATTATGCCGGAGAAGGAACGTAACGACTGGAGAATCAACGGAACCTTGGTGAAACATTCTGCTTTAGAGCGATTTTTTCTCGACTAAGAAATCGTTAAAAATACATTTCTCCTATGTACAAAACGACTTCTCGAGTTTTAAGTAATTAAATACTAATTGAGTGATTAAATAAGAGCACTTGAAAAAGAGAAAGCATACAGTATAAATTAAATTCCGAAAATTTCAAAAGGAGTTGGTTAATTAACGAGATTATATTGATTAATAACGTGAAAGTGATGTCTGGCTACGCACGCCCAATTCCCCTGCGGCAGTGAACTTGTTATGGGTTAACAAGTAAAAACTATTGAACCCGTTGAATCTAATTGACTGCAGGTTAAATATAGACCGTTTATATCGTCGTATGAATCGAAATCGATGAACGCGAGAGCGAAAATATTATTTCATAGCGGCGATACGATCGAACGGTATCCGCTGAAAGGTACGTTATAACATGGAGAAGTCTGACCTACAAAGGAAAGAAGGGTTGCCGGCTAAGAGGCGAAAAAAGAACGATCGAAGAAAAAGCCAAAGGGAGGGATCCTTTCAGTCGGTCGAAAGTTACGTTGGAACCGAGGTCGTCTGGTTTTATATGCTCAGTATTATATATTACGATCACTGGGCTCTGGTTATGATGACGCTTGCTGCGTCTACCATTACTTCTTCTCGATTTCACTTGTTAACACGTTAACTGCAATTGGGGGTCATCGGTGACCGGCACCGCCAACACACTGATACATGTTTTCTATAACCTCGATCAATTGACGATCTTTACATTTGATCTAGGTTCAAATGTATCTTTTCAGACACCTAGATCTGCTTAGACTACAGGACTCTAATACTCTCAGACCATCACTTGATCCAGATACTCCTAAATCTAATATCCATGGATCCAAATGTGTCCACATCCTAACAGCGTTAGATTCTAATATAGACCTTCTTTCTCTCATTCTAAATATGGCGCGTGGAAATACGATACAATATAGATTTCCACGCGCCGTATTTCCACGCGTTGTAATCGCCACGCGCCGTATTTCCACGCGCTGTAATCGCCACGCGCCGTATTTCCACGCGTATTAACCGCCACGCGCCGTATTTCCATGCGCTGTAATCTCCACGCACCGTATTTCCACGCGTTGTAATCGCCACGCGCCGTATTTTTACGCGCTGTAATCTCCACGTGTCGTATTTCCACGCGTTGTAATTGCCACGCGTCGTATTTCCACGCACTGTAACCTCCACGCGCCGTATTTCCACGCGCTGCAATCTTCACGCGTCGTATTTCCATGCGCCGTATTTCCACGCGCCGTATTTCCACGCGCCGTATTTCCACGCGCCATATTTCCACGCGCTGTAATCTCCACGCGCCATATTTTCACGCGCCATATTTCCATGCGCTGTAATCTCCACGCGTCGTATTTCCACGCGTCGTATTTCCACGCGCCGTATTTCCACGCGCCGTATTTGGAATGGGAGGAAGGAGATCTATATTGTATTCTATATTCCATTAAATATCTTGTTACCTCAATGCTCCAAGACTTCAGATGCAATGATCCAAGAATACAACTAATATAAAAATCGTCCATACCCTAAAATATCTCCAGATTACTATCTCTGAACCAAAATCTCAGATCAGTATCTCGTAAATGTTCCTAACCCCAGTAAATATTCCTAATTCCTAATCCCATAATTCCAGGAATCTGAATCCTATAGTGACGATTGCAAATATGAAAGGAATGTGATAATTGAGATAAGTCTTAATTATCATTAAACATCTACCTATCAGCCGAGACAAAATAGAAAGTGCGTCGTTTCGTTAGATGAGAGTAATAAGGCCGGTAACGACGTTCACGAGAGTGATCGATAAGTAGAAGTTGCTTGGACACGTTCGCGACGAGAAAAGGTACTACGGTGCCCTAATTAAAGTTCCTTACATGCCGGCCAGCTTCTATTACGTGTTAGAAGGGGGAAGGAAGCGTCCAGTGACGTCACCACAATGCAGGTCCGGTCGGTTTTATTATTTTTACGTTTTACATCGCCCATGGATTACTTAATACGAAGGGAGCAGCTCACTTTCTCTCTCCAGTAACGTGCCTTTAAGCCAGTATGCCGGTGCGTGACCGAGTCTCCACTGAACTTCTACAGACTGTTGCAAAACCAGTGTATCAACATCGCAATACCATTACAAACATAATGTTATGCAATGTTAACACACTTCTAGTGATTACCTGTTGCGTGGTTTGCGACGAGTTTAGTGTCGGGGTTATCACTGATTGACAACTTAACTTTTATAGCTGGGTACTGTAAGGACACATTACTTTTCATGCACCGTGCAAGTCTTGATTTAGGACATTGGTAGGAGAATTACGCACTGCCTAAGTAACTATGATGATTAGTAATACTTGGTGTAATGGTATTTCTACGCGTCGTATTTCCACGCGCTGTAATCTCCATGCGTCGCATTTCCACGCGCTGTAATTTCCACGCGTCGTATTTCCACGCGCTGTAATCTCCATGCGTTGTATTTCCACGCTCTGTAATTTTCATACGTCGTATTTCCACGCGCTGTAATTTCCACGCGTCGTATTTCTACGCGCTGTAATCTCCACGCGTCGTATTTCCACGCGCTGTAATTCCATGCGCTGTAATCTCCACGCGTCGTATTTCCACGCGCTGTAATCTCCATGCGTTGTATTTCCACGCTCTGTAATTTCCATGCGTCGTATTTCCACGCGCTGTAATTTCCACGCGCCGTATTTCCACGCGCTGTAATTTGCACGCGCTGTAATTTCCACGCGCTGTAATTTCCACGTGCTGTAATTTCCACGCGCTGTATTTCCACGCGCTGTAATCTCCATGCGTCGCATTTCCACGCGCTGTAATTTCCACGCGTCGTATTTCTACGCATCGTATTTCCACGCGCTGTAATCTCCACGCGCCATATTTTCACGCGCCATATTTCCATGCGCTGTAATCTCCACGCGTCGTATTTCCACGCGCTGTAATCTCCATGCGTCGCATTTCCACGCGCTGTAATTTCCACGCGTCGTATTTCCACGCGCTGTAATCTCCATGCGTCGCATTTCCACGCGCTGTAATTTCCACGCGTCGTATTTCCACGCGCTGTAATCTCCATGCGTCGCATTTCCACGCGCTGTAATTTCCACGCGTCGTATTTCCACGCGCTGTAATCTCCATGCGTCGCATTTCCACGCGCTGTAATTTCCACGCGTCGTATTTCCACGCGCTGTAATCTCCATGCGTCGCATTTCCACGCGCTGTAATTTCCACGCGTCGTATTTCCACGCGCTGTAATCTCCATGCGTCGCATTTCCACGCGCTGTAATTTCCACGCGTCGTATTTCCACGCGCTGTAATCTCCATGCGTCGCATTTCCACGCGCTGTAATTTCCACGCGTCGTATTTCCACGCGCTGTAATCTCCATGCGTCGCATTTCCACGCGCTGTAATTTCCACGCGTCGTATTTCCACGCGCTGTAATTTCTACGCGCCGTATTTCCACGCGTCGTATTTCTTACGCGTCGTATTTCCATGCGTCGTATTTCCACGCGCTGTAATTTCCATGCGTCCTATTTTCACGTGCTGTAATTTCCACGCGCCGTATTTTGTCGCGCTGTAATTTCCACGCGCCGTATTTCCACGCGCTGTAATTGCCACACACCGTACTTCCACGCGCCGTATTTCCACGCGTTGTATTTCTGCACGTGGTATATCTACGCATCGTAATTCTACACAGACTGCATTTCCGTATTTCCACGCGCTGTAATCTCCACGCGCCGTATTTCCACGCGCTGTAATTGCCACACACCGTACTTCCACGCGCCGTATTTCCACGCGTTGTATTTCTGCACGTGGTATATCTACGCATCGTAATTCTACACAGACTGCATTTCCACACGTCATAGTTACTACGTGTAGTATTTCTACGTGTCGCAATTCCACGAGTTGTATTTCCACGTGCTGTAAACGTCACGCATCATATTTCCACTTTCCACACCTACTCCTTGCGTACTATATCTACCACGCATTTGCCTCGCGTTATATCACCTCGCATTGCATTTATTACATACTCTACTCTATTACCAGACTCATCCACGAAACTCACAATATCAAAAAAGTCATTTGTTCAATTCATTTCCAATTCACCAATTACAACTCCTTATACTCTTTGTGGTAACATAAGGGTCTACCGTAAATAAAGAATGCTATACACCTGAGAATAACGGTCAAAGGTCATCGGTCGCGAACACGAAAGGCTTATCTTTATCAGGATCGCAAGTTAGGAAACTTCTGTCACGATTATGGTATTAGAATGTTTTTCCATGGTGACGAAGGAAATCGATAGACAAGGACACGTATGGACAATGTCACGCAACGTTGTATTTTTATTGTTTTCCGGCACAGTAAACTAACATTAATTGTGATGTAACTTTGGGTAATCAAGGATAATGAACAGTGTGCATCGTAATTGGAACGATTGACGTCTGGATCACGAAAGTGTCTTCATATCTGTTGCATGGATTTTTATTATAGTCGGATTGGACGATGGGTAGAACTTATTGTAAAATAACATTTATGCAAGTCAGTTGCAGATGTTTTTCACTTATGAAAACTCTTATAGAAATATTTTTTATGTTGTGACCATCACCTACTGTGTGGACAATGATGGTCAAAGGTGTATTTTCTTTAAATTCTAAAAATGAGTACCAAGCTGTTTAACTTATTATTCAGATAATAATTCAATAGCTCAAGTTTATTAGCTCGCAATATTTGAGTCCATACTTCAGTTTTATTGTAATTATTCCTTAGATGACTACCATTGTCTCAGTTACGTCACCGTAATTACCTTTTTGATGCAACCATTGTAAATATCTTTTCGAGTCGCGCGAAAAAATAATACTATAATTTGATTTGAATACTATAATTTCCACGAAGATACAAATGAAGAAGGAAGTCGATGGTTGTCATTGAGAAACGAAGGTCGAAATATCGGCGTCAGGATGCTGCTATCGTTGTTTCACGTAAACAACGTAATTCTTTTTCCTGTCACGAAGCATCCGAACTCGACTTTTCTTTATCTAGGTCAAACGAGTTGAGGAAAATTGTGCGAGATAACGCGACTGCAATTGGATAATGTCTACAAAATTGACATCATGAAACTTTAAAAATATGGAGTCGTTAACAGATACGATCCTCGAAATTCATTTTTTAACGCTTCGAGGTGACCTACATCTCATAGCTATCATCGTACGCCTCCACGAAGGTCATGATGGCCGACAGGTGTACAACTAATTCGTCCCATAAGGATTGAAAGTTACCTTCCGATCGTGCTCAATGGTCACGATATGCAAAGTAAATCGATCGCGACTGTTACGTCACGTAGATCCGTGAGTTAGTTAACAGTAATAACGCGTGTGGATGATTCATGCAACAATAAACGCTTCGCTGCTTACTCATCGACTACGATGATCTTGAAACTGATTTACAGCGCATCAAAACAACAGGATTTGCGTGATCTGTTTAATGGATGCTGTTTTTATCGTCCTTCCGAAATCTGGGTCGTAACATATTTCATAAATACAGCTTTTCAGAATTGTGCAACTTACATTGTCGCGTTAAGGACTCGTGAAAGTCTCAAGGTTGTCGCGTTGGTCATATATGGAAATCCGAGGAAAATTCAAGGGGAATGAATAAAAGTTCATGGGTCGTCACAAAGGTTGAGCACACGATAGGTCTTCGAATTACTGGAATATAAGATACGTATCGATCAGGTTGGCACGTCAACGGGTCTTCGAAACATCAAAACTTGCGTTGTTGATCGAACACTTAATTGATATAAAAATTAAAGGTAATCACGACCAATTGCTAATAAGAATGTAGGTCGACGGAAGGAAAAAATTGAGGACGATCATCATGAAAGAGTCTTGCTCGTGACATCAGCGCGGAAACAATTACTAAACGTCTGGTCGCCTTTAGGAATCACAATGACGAAGATTACGCGATCGTTCGATCCTTGTAAGGAATTGTTGCACTTGCAAAACAACATTCCAACACTTTCTAAGTATTGCGGACTCGCTTCCAAAACGACTTGCAGGGTCAATCTTGAGAAATTGTGGGAATATTGGGAAAAAAGTTTACATCACTACTTGCGTTCATAGCAATTATCTGTCATTTGTATATTTAATTTTACCGGTTTGTTTGCAGCTCGAGTAAGCAACGAAAATGGGATACGGGACGGAAATGGACAGCTGCGGACGCTGTATGAAGTACTCCTTGTTCTTCGTCAACTTCGTAATTTTTGTAAGCTGCCATTTTGTACATGAGTCATTATTATTGATTAGTATATTTGCGTGCAACGTAGAAAGCGTTTAGATAGAGATAGGAGGAGGTTTTGACATTTGCTGTTCTCAGAGATGTTTGCCAATACAAATGAAAAACCAGCAAGTACAATTCTCCTCCCTTATATCATCATTTCTCCTATGAAAATTTATTATGATTGCAACTATACATCAATCGTTGTAATTTAATTCCTTGGACTACATTTCATGATCCACATGAATGTCATGATCTACATGAACTTCATGATCCAGATGAACTTCATGACCCATATGAATTTCATGATCCACATGAACTTTATGATCCGTTCCAACTTCATGATTTACATGAACTTTATGATCCTCTCCAACTTCATGATCCACATGAACTTCATGATCCATATGAATTTCATGATCTACATGAACTTTATGATCCTCTCCAACTTCATAATCCACATGAACTTCATGACCCACATGAACTTCATGATCCACACTACCTTCATAATCCATACAAACTTCATGATCCACATAAACTTCGTAACCCAACAACTAATACAACTACATTTTCAGATCGGTGGAGTTGCAATAGTCGGACTAGCAACATGGGCCCTGCTGGATAAAGTTCCATGGATAGGCGAGCTAGTTGGGAACGATTTGCTAACAGGTGCTATATACGTGTTGCTGGCTGGCGGAGTACTCGTAGCCATCATCTCCTTCTTCGGTTGCATCGGTGCATCTCGTGAAGTGAAATGCATGCTGCTTACGGTAGAATATTTATACACTGTCTAGAATCAATCCAGAGTTCGAATAAACGTGATGTGATTATGATTTCAGTACTTCATCATCGTATTCCTTTTGTTCGTGACGATGTTAATTGGCGGAGTGCTCGCGTACGTGTTCCGTGAGAAGCTGGTGCAGGGCCTCGAAAGAGAGATGGCTAGTTCGATGAGGGTTTATGATAGTCGTAAATCTGTCAGGGACGCGTGGGACACTACGCAATCCACGGTGAGTAGGATTGGGAGCGTTATAGTTAGGGACTTGTAGAATTGGGGATTTGGGAGTTTAGGTATTTGGGAGTTAGAGAAATTTGGGGACTTGGGAATTTGGAGAGTTGGGAATTGGGGAATGTGGGAATTGGGTAGGGACTTGTAGAATTGGGGATTTGGGAGTTTAGGTATTTGGGAGTTAGAGAAATTTGGGGACTTGGGAATTTGGAGAGTTGGGAATTGGGAAATGTGGGAATTGGAGATTTGGGAATTTGGAGAGTTGGGAATTGGGGAATGTGGGAATTCAGAGATTTGGGAATTTGGAGATTTGGGGCTTTGTAGATTTGGGGATTTGGAGATTGGGAATTTGGAGATTTGGGAATTCGGAGATTTGGGACTTTGCAAACTTGGGAATTGGGAGATTTGGGGATTTGGAGATTGGGGATTTGGAGATTGGGAATTTGGAGATTGGGAATTTGGAGATTTGGGACTTTGGGAATTTGGGAATTCGGAGATTTGGGACTTTGCAAACTTGGGAAATGGGAAATTTGGGAATTTTGGGAACGTAAAGATTTGAGATTTAAAATTTTGAAATCTTGAATATCCAATGATTTGTAGATTTGGGGCTTTCAGAAATTTGGGAGTGCAAAAACTTGAAAAATTTAGAAATTTAAAATATGAAAATTTCCAACTTTCCCCCAAAATCAAAGCCTATGCCCTCGTCACCCTAATAAAGGCAAATAAATTCGTTTGAAGCGTTAAAAAAATTTCACGCGATTAATTCTATATAATTTGAAGTAGGTTGGCGTCTGACGACTTTTTTTGCGTCTCGATTTCAGCTCCACTGCTGCGGTGTAAACGGTTGGAGAGACTGGGGAACTCAGGGACTGAACGTGCCACAGAGCTGCTGTCGCGAGATACAACCTAACCAGGTAAGCCTTAATTTTCTTAACGAGCTCGTTCTTCGGATACCGTTGACGAATCCGTGCATATGTAATTGCAGTAATTAGTGATTTATGCTACTCGTGCACCTCGTCCGTCTAGCGTTATTACCTTCATGGGATTCAATTATATTTGAAGAACTGACGAGAAAACTGAATTTGTCTGGGATAAAAGCTTGCTTCTAATTTGCGTCTGCTTCCATAATTCATGAACGTCTACGAACAAAAGTATCCACGTTCTATATCTTTGTCACATAAATCTCGAGTGGGTACTTTCACGAGAGATCGTAAGTGAAAACGATTTGAAAACTGAAAGTCTCTCGGACTTTTTATTTAATTGCAAGGATACCTTCGGCCGGTTTAACAGATCTCTAATTGTATCGACTGTTGATAATTGTGATTAAACGTGTCACAAGAAAGCGTTGTAACTTTATGTCAATTTTAATGAAAAATGATAGTTATTGATACTATGAAATATTTATAGTGGCATATCAGTGTATAATAATTTACTACTAATCTAATACTGCATGCACAACGTATCCACACGTGACCAAGAATACCGCTTCCCTCATTATGTGTAATAAGGTATAATTGTCTCGTGACTCGAATCTGACTGAAATCATTCGTAAATCTACTCGAAACAATCAGGAAAGACCCGACAAACGATTCCACCGAGTTTCGAAACAGTCACGATCTATCGATTACGTCCAGAAAAGCATCCGCTCCGTGGCAATCTCTTAATCGACCTCGAAGTTGTTTCGCCTCTCACGCTTTCACCCGGTCCGATCGACTTTCTCAGGCCGAATTGTTTCCTCACGTTGCCCTCATCGATCTTTATTTGCAGAGATTCAACTGTAGCGCTGGACCGGACACAGTGAATCCCTCGAACGCCTATCTGGTCGGTTGCATCAATGGAACGCAGATTTACATGCAGAAGCACGCAACAATCATGGGTGGCGCTGGAATTGCCGTCGCGTGTCTGATGGTGGGACTTTCTCTTTTTCATTTGCATTTTAATCGAATCTGCCTTCGGTGAAAATTCATTAAGAAACGCGTTAACTTAGCCGCCAAAACACTTTTCCTTTTATACGCGCTCGTTAAATCCGATATCGATGGAAAATTGTTTATTATCCAAAGTAATCTGAAGTTTGAGATCATTTGACTGTTGATTCACTGGTACGTTCATAATGAAGCCGAGTGCCACAATAAAATTTATTTTGTAATTCGGCAATATCACAAGTGGTACTTCAACACTTGGTAATTGAACGCGTGGTAATTCAATACAAAGAATTTAAAATTGCAACTCCATGCGTAGTAATTTCAGCCACGGCGATATAACGCGAGGAAATATAATGCGTGATAATACAGTGCGTAATAACTCCACGAATGGCAATATAACACCTGGTAATTTTGAGCGTGGCAATATAACGCATGGTAACTCCACGAGTGGCAATACAACGCGTGGTAATTTCACGAGTGACAATATAACGCGTGGTAATACAGCGCGTAGTAATTCCACGAGTGGCAATATAACGCATGGTAATTCTACGCGTAGTAATTCCACAAGTGGCAATATAACGCGTGGTAATTCTGCGCGTTGTAATTCCACGAGTGGCAATATAACGCGTGGTAATTTTACGCGTAGTAATTCCACGAGTGGCAATATAACGCGTGGTAATACAGCGCGTAGTAATTCCACGAGTGGCAATATAACGCGTGGTAATACAGCGCGTAGTATTTCCACAAATGGCAATATAACGCGCGGTAATTCTACGCGTAGTACTTCCACAAGCGGCAATATAAATCAATTATTAATTCTAGTATCAAGAGAGTCAATTTTCCATTTTAACGTCTGGTAATTTTGAATGTTGCAGTTCTTCGGTATGATATTCTCTTGCGCGCTCTTCAAGATGATAGAATGAACACAAGAGAGTTGTGTGCTGTAAAGGCAGCTTCGTTCTTCAGCGTCGAGTTAACGAAGAAGAAGTGGATATGTCAGCCGTCCTCGAGCGACTCATGAATTCATAATCATCGTCATTTGAGTGAACCTAAGCTGAAGTACGAGAATCAAAATGCATCTTCACGCGCATCTACTTTCCAATGTACAGATTTCACCATTTTTGTTACGCTTAGAATTACTTGTACCTCTTACGACTTTTCTCTTTATTTTTCTTTTGTAATTTATAAGAAACATTTTGAGTATTCTCGTTTAATTACATAGCGTATTACGTGTAATTTGTATGGTAACGCAGATATGTACCTTATACGTGTATTAAATAAACAAACGTGTACAAAGTTCACCGAAACTGCATTTCAAGGTTTACTCCTGGCAATTTTATATATTCGTCTCGTTAAATTTCGTTCGCGCTGTAGCAAACGACAGACCTTTCACGAACCAAGCTTTCTCTTCTAAATCTGAATACTTTCCCTACGCTATCACGAAGTTCATCGAATTTTCCATCGTTGATTTTGCCGAGGACACTCGATCGTTGGTTAATTTTGTTAGCGGGTCGTGCATGCGTCAGGGCGTTTTCCCTTTCACGATCCCTGTTCAAATATTCCCCCTTGCATTCAACACATCTCGCTCATCCACCGAAATGGACATGCATGCAATAATTCTCTTTGAACGATTTGCCCGTCCGTACACAGGACGTGATATTCCACCTAAACAAAGTTAACAAACAAATCGATAATAATCCAAAGATAAATTTGTTCTTATCGAAGCAAGAATCTCATAGGGGTGTATCGAGTATCCCACATTTCTATAAATATAGTTCCACAATTTTTTTTAATTTATCGTACTGTACATCTAATGCACATAGCGTCTGTGGCGTTCATTATGGTTGCAGCTAGAATTCGAGGAAGAAGCAAAAGAGCCGGTCCTATTTTCCTCGTTTTCTCCATCGTAGCTTGTGTTCTGCTGGAAATGGAAAAAAGTCGAGTAACGTGGCTACAATCTTCGGTAATGAGAGAGCGTATATAGCTTTTGTTTCGGAAACAGCCGGTACGCGAATCTCCGATAGAAAGACACCCATGGACCGAGTCCCATAGAAGCCGTGTCGCGCGTCGATATCCCGTCTGGTCATTGTACACCGGAAGGAAGAAATTTCCGTCTGAATAACACAGCAATTTTTTCATCGATTCGGACTCTATTCATCTTTAATCGACTCACATTTACATTTCAATTATTGTACGCATCGAATGCATGAAATATGTATCGAACACCCTCTGTTTAATTCAACCAGTGAAATTTTAACGACGCATATTCAGAATTCGCTGTTGGTTTTCAATTGTCGAATTAAATTTAGCTCGCAGCGAGAATGATAAATGAAACGTTGAGCGGGCTAGAGATGGATATAGAGTTAACTCTGGTAAACTCCAAAGCAAATACGAAATCAGACGTAGTATATTAGTAGAAGGACCGAAGTTTAGAATTTCAAAGTCTGCGTTTCCAATAAGCGGCTGGCTGCTCTATGTTTGCCTACAGCTTATTCACCCCTTTGTTGTCAGGCTGTGCGCCTCCTTGCATTAAAGCACGACGGGTTGCCGTAATACAGGCGTCTCGCCAAAATAAACCTTCATCGCACTCTATCAGCCGTCTTTTTATTTTCCGTTTAATTATCGAACGACGGTACAGTCATTCGCGAAAACTTTCGATCGCTTAACGCGTAAAAATCTAGACAATTTTTAATTCTCGTATACTTTCAATCTATGTTGCATACGGCATTACCTCCTCTTATATAGCCACTAGTTATATGGTCATGGGGTGTATTTGTCATGTATTGTATTTACTACGAATTGTATTTGTCACCGACCCACATTACCAATTCAAGAAGTCACCCCAATAAACAATTGCTATCACAGCCATATAACGAGACTCTACTACACCCTACATATTTCAATATTATTTCGCAACCAAAATGTAAATCCAATAAATCTCAACTCGCTCCCAAGAAGAAATAAAACATTCCTCACGCCGAAACATTTACAGGTGATTTTCCGCAACCATTTTACGTTATACCTCCCGGCAGGACCACGTCTCTGTTCGCGTATTAAAACATTCACGGGGACACGTGCGCATGGAGCTGAATTTCTGTCAAATTTTTCATGACTCCAGGGCAAGTTGTACAGTCCCCCAAAAATTTGGTGCACCAAAGATACTGTGTACAATCTCCCAAAAAATGTCTAGATACAATTCCATTTCGATCGAGCAACCTCGTTATGAAGGTTTGATGAAGTTTCCTCGTCGACAAACTAAGTATAAACGCGTCTATACCGTAATTCTAATTATTCCGTGTCGAGACTCCCTGCTAGACAGTGTGAGTTCGTAATTTTCCGCTCGTGTATCATGGCCGTTGTGCGACTCAACACGTCCTTGCTTCCCTTTAGGTTTATTCACCCCAACATGCGTCACCCTACGCGTGTCTTTGCGCACAGGCGTGACTGGCTGCCATTCTGAAGGCGCTCTAACCACCCGTGCGTGTTGTAGGCTTTTCCATCGTCGATAATCTTTCACCTCTTTTCTCTGTTTTTCCGGGTAATCAGTTTGGGGCAATTGTTGTCTTTCATCGGGGAGCTATTTGTTGCGATGGAAATGTTTCGAGCATGCGAGGCTCAAGTTCTTCAAATATCATAAATCGATTTTGGCAATTTCTAAGTTTTCGAATACCACATTCGACAATTTTTGCATTACCCAATGTAAAATTATCCATACTCTCGAATTTTCATATCTAAAATTCCACATTCCCCCAATTCCACATGTCCCAATTCCACATTCCCCATCTTCCACATCCCCAAACTTTACGTTCCCCAATTCTACATTCCCCAATTCCATCTTCCTCCAATTCCACATTCCCCAACTTTCACATTCCTCAATTCCACATTCCCCTAATTCCACCTTTTTCCAATTCCACATTCTCCAATTCCACCTTCATCCAATTCCACATTCCTCAATTCCACATTCCCCTAATTCCACCTTTTTCCAATTCCACATTCTCCAATTCCACCTTCATCCAATTCCACATTCCTCAATTCCACATTCCCCTAATTCCACATTCCCCAATTCCACATCGTCCAACTTCCACATTTCACCTTCCTCCAATTCCACATTCCCCAATTCCACTTTCCTCCAATTCCACATTCCCCCAATTCAACATCTCTCAATTCCACATTCCCCAAATTTCACATTCCTCAATTCCACATTCCCCTAATTCCACATTCCCCAATTCCACATCGTCCAACTTCCACATTCCCCAACTCCACACCCTCCAACTTCCACATCATCCAACTTCCACATTCCCCAACTCCACATTCCCCAACTCCACACCCTCCAACTTCCACATCATCCAACTTCCACATTCCCCAACTCCACATCCTCCAACTTCCACATTCCCCAATTCCACATGTCTAAATTTCTAAAGAGTCAAATACCCAAAACTCTCAAACTCTCAAATCCCAAAACTTCCAAATTCCCAAATACTGAAAATTCCAAACTTCTAACCATCCGTATCCATGCATTCCCCAATTAGTCTCGGTGGAATAAATAGCGATACAAACCGCACTGAAAATCGGAACGAAATTCCACCGTCCGACGACGGGTCTTCGTTTTTTTCAATTTGAACACGACTTTCACCACGATTTTCTGCAGTGGTATTATTTGCCCCGCAGGTTCGGGCACACGTCGGCCCACATACTTATACACGATTCACGACAAGTTTTCACGCTGTTTCGCCGTTCTAGGTATATACGCAAAACGCTCGGGAGTGTGAAATCGTGTCGTAATCCCACGCGTGCGTGCGTGCGTGCGTACGCGATACACGCTTGCGATTATTCTCTTTCTTCACCGAATAAGCTCATATGCCGTGTGCGATTCCCGCGCGTTGCCACAAAGAAGGCCCCTCTCGGACAATGACAAATGAATCGCAACACGCTACTCGTCGATAATGCTACTCGTCCCGAGATCTTCTCGGATACCCACGTATACAGGCTGTTTCACAATTAATACTCTCATAGTCAAGTATCGGTACAACAGGATAACTCACAGAGCAAGTATATCAGAAGACCTTTACATTCATTTATTATATTTAGAGGACCTTCATATTTATTTATTGCATTGAGAGATAAAAATTGTCAGCTTCAACATCAACTTTTTGGGGTTATATTAAAATAGGATGAAAGGACAAAAAATTTACTTGTGGATATTTTACAACTTTCTCATACCTTGAAGTTTTATTTCAAAATTATTTCCAAGACATGTTAAACTTGTTTTATTCTATATTTTCGTATACGAAGATAGTCACATAATATTTCATTTGAAAAATACTTCAAATCCAAGAGTGAGTTTTAAAATATTTAAAGTAAAGATTTGTTCTGAAATGATAATGATAGACTTTCCAATATTTTGAGACACCCTGTATACTTCCGTCCATTCTTTCTTGCGTTTCTTGCACACCGTCCCACGCCAGGACAATTGAAAATCGTTCGAACGATTGAAATCGAGAATGATGCCTCTTCGTTCCCTGATCTATCTCAATCTTTACCTACTATTTGCTTCGTTGCGAAACACCAGGATAAATCTTTAACGAGCGATTTGCTTTTCGTGTTCTTCTCTCCAGGTGCATTAGGTGTGCAAATTACTTGGGCGATGACAGAAATTGCGCCGGGTATTAAGTGGGTGTGATATATCGGCATATTATGTCTTTCTATTTGTTTTGTAATTTGTCTAATTTAATTTTGATTCTAGCGATAAATCAAAGATGGTGAAACAACATGAACATGTTAAGGTAGTGAGGTGATTGTACATGTTCAGATATATTTTTGTAAATTTTTACACTTTCTCGTTTAACTTCAAACTGCAGAATAGATCTGCATGTCTGAGCGAAAAGGAAAAAATTGAATTTTATAGCGAGGATTTTTCGTTGTTTCTAGCTGCCCTTTTTTTCTTTATTGGCACACTTTCCGCCCTGCTGACGTTGCCCCGACAGAGAGGAAACAAGGGAAGAAAGAGAGAGAGAAACAGAGAGAGAAACGTCGGATGCAGGGAAATAGAGAGTAGACGAGAGATATCTACGTATTGATTTCGTCTCGAGCATTAAATTCGAATAGGCCGGAACCGAGGGAATCGTCCAGGTGAAACGGAGAACTACGGAGCCACTTCAGTCTGTGTTCCGTTGCAAATTAAATTGTACTCGAACTCGGGAGGCAACTACGAGTAGGCCAATGCAATTGGCTGCAGACCTAACTATTATGCAAGCTAATATCGTCGTGTTTGCATCATGTACCTAACCATTGTTGGCGGCGCGACATTTTCCTAAACGCTACTACTGTATACAACTAACAGCATTAACCCTGCTAATCGCTCTGCAACTTTGTATCTGCACTTCTCGTTCTGCAATTTATTTACACGTCATGAGCTACATTGTGAGGATTATGGGCTACATCGTAATTTCAATTTGTTTGATGTGTTGTATATGTGAACATATGTAATGTAATGTATGATAGGTAATACATATGATATGTATAATATGTATCATATGAAGAATGTGCATAATATGTATATAATATGTACCATATGAAAAATATGAATAATAAGTAACATATGAAGAATGTGTATAATATGTATCATATGAAGAATATGTATAATATGTAACATATGTAAAATGTGTATAATATGTATCATATGAAGAATATGTATAATATGTATCATATGAAGAATGTGTATAATATGTATCATATGAAGAACGTATATAATATGTACCATATGAAAAATATATATAATATATAACATATGAAGAATGTGTACAATATGTATCATATGAAGAATATGTATAATATGTAACATATGTAAAATGTGTATAATATGTATCATACGAAGAATGTGTATAGTATGTATCATATGAAGAACATGTATAATATGTATAACATGTATAACATGTATAATATATTATAATATGTAATGTATAATATGTACCAAGTTAATCTTACATGTTCATATCACATATCAGTACCCACATACATGTGGATATCGTAGTGCCATTTTTGGACGAGGACAAATGAAACGATTGCTCGAATTGCAGTATAAAACGAAAGGTATTCGTTAGTAAAAACGTAAGAAACCCAGAAAGAGAAAAGTTCGTAAACGGATCGAGCCTGGTCGATCGAAACGAAGAACATTAAATTACACTAATGATGATAACATTTAATACACCGTGACCATGGCGAGGCCGCTTTCGGTCATGCTTTATTTGACGTGTCAATTAATCAACCGAGTTACGGGAACGTTTTTTCAGCCCGGCTTCTTCTCAAATATTTGCGTTTCACCGTTATTCACCGCGAAAAATGGCCAGGCAGCAATGGGAGTGATTCACTCGGCCGAATTCACGTGGAAAAAGTGCATCCACGAGGTATACACGGGTCCGGTGGTGCATTCTCGTTTCGAAGACGAACAAGAAATCTCACGGGGCTAAAAGTAGAGCAGCAAAGAGATTTCCCGTGCAGTACGGTCTTAGCCTTCGGGTGGAGGGTGGAAAGAAAAATAGAATGCGAGGAGGAATTAAATAGAAAAGCAAGTAATAACGAAAAGTTCTGAGGATATTCCTGACCTCACTTCGACTTCGTTGCTACGCGAAATGAAAAGGATGTTCGGGGGAGAACGCGTAGATTCATTTCACTGTGGTCTGCTTGCTTTCATGACAAATATGGCTGTTTTCAAGCTTCTAACAGGTTTCCAATTATTATGAGTGCAAGTTACGTCTTTTGACTGCCAAACACATATATTCACGTACGATCAATTTTGTCGAACACATACTGTTGCATACATTGGGATTCAATAGAATTTTCAACCGATTTAAACTACCAATCGATCAAAAATTCATCACGTGACTACCTTTTAAGGTGTGTTTCCTGCATAAAATGTCGACAGATTTTCAGTATTCGTAACCGAGTGTACGGAGGCTGTTTGATCGAGTCAAACGATTCCTTCCTCTGTTCCCTTTTTCGAACACAAAGCACGTGTGTTGAACTTTAATACGTTCTTGTAGGCGCCCGTCGCGATTACAGCATCAGGATAGCGAAACCACGCAAATATATTTTCCTCTCGGCGTATCTGCCGTCAATCGCGTAATCGGTTATAAAACGATCCGCCTTTTTCCTTTACCACTTCACCTGTATAGTAATCCGACAGAACGTGAGCCGCTCTGCAGAGCACGTACGTCAAATCGGTAAGTCGATCTTGCAAGGTTGCAATTATCAAGATCTATTATTCGATGTATTTATTCAAGTCGAAACGGTCTGTGAATCCTACATTTCTCGACGGTACAATTTTCTTCGTAATTTCTTCGTCTACCAGAAATTCTTAGTAATTTTAATAAATATCCCTCGTATTCAAAGAAACTGCACAATGCGATCGAGAGTTAAATCGAGGTTTCTTATTGTGTATTTAAACAAATCGATAAAGGTTGTACATTTTTCGCTTCTTTTCTTGCGTCAGAAAGCATCTCCGAAACCTGCCGCAGACAACGAAGAAGCTGGTTTAAATGGAGCTTCTTAATGCACCAGTCTTCTTTCTGCGCTATGATTATGCTTTTCTACTCTTCTCCTTCGTTATCTTAGCAGACTTCGCGAAACTCTATCGAGAGAGCTCTTTGCTCGAACAATCCATCCTGGAAATCCCGCGTTTGCAGAAACTCAGTGCTTCTGCTGATTATTTTCGGTCCGGGTAACTCGGGATCTTGATTAAATTAATACACGTGTACAATCTTGTTGCTTCTTTTCAGAAACGGATTTAACCGGAAATTGAGTGTTTCGCTGCAACTTCTTTCATAGCGGACGATTTTCAAGTCCTTGTATAACATACCCAATCCTTGAAGATCAGATCCTGCAATTTTAATTTTAACAATTGTTGGATACACAAATTTCCTGGTCTCCAAATTTGAGACTTGAAAAGCCAGCAAAAGAGAACTACCAAATCTTAGGATTCTAATTTTCAAGCCACCAATCGTAAATTCCTGAAAATCCAAACCAAATTCCAGAAATTGTTACGTTGTCAGATCTTGAAATTTTTAAACGCACAAATTACAGATCCGAAATTTGCAATGTATCTAAATGATGAGATTGTAAAATATGAAAAAGTTTGTGAATGTAATATAGAGTGTATGGAGGTGCAGCATGTGAATGATCCTTAAGGCTGATTTCCATGAGGCTGTTGTGAACGCGGCAGCCATAGCCGGGCAGACGGTTTGTTCTGTCAATCCCCACCATCGTCAGAGCTACCGGGCTCCTCCACTGCACCACCACCACCTTCTTCACCATCACCACCACCACAACCACCACCACCACCACCATCACCAGCCACTACCATGGAAACCGACGAATGCGCATTCTGACTTCAGTTCAACCGACGGTTTCAACCTGCCAAGTCGTGCAGGTGTTGGCACACGGTTGTTGCCATCCACGTACCGATACCGCGCCAGTTCCCCCGGGATACGCGCTCGCGACTACGTATCTGGAAGATTCGTAACGCGGGAATCGTCACACCCTTGGCTGAGAGGGTGCAGCGGGTGCCACGGCGGGCAAACGGGCGAGTGTTAAAAAGCCGTGTTACCATAGGAGGGCTGCGATTTATGGAACCACCACCCCATGGATAGTAACATGTCGACCGCCTTCATGCACCGGTATGGGAAACTTTAAGATCGATAAACTCGAGTCGCCGGCGAAGGCTTCGCCTCGAGAGCCGGGTCCCCTTTTGTCTCTCGACATCCCGAAAAAAACATTGTCGAAATTGCCAGCCCGGTTCGATCGATCGGTTTGTTGCTATGCAGCTCGGCTTCCCGGCCAAAGGGTTCGACGAGGTGTCCTCCAACAGCGGCGAAGTGTTCGACCGGTAGATCGACTAGCCACACTCCGTTTTTCTACCCGGCTGTTTTCGTCCACGAAGAAGCGCGATCGAAATCGATTTCACCGGCTCCGTTTAAGACCGGGTGAAAAATGGAGTGCGGCAGGGAAAAAGTGTGCCTTTGCACGGGGCGGCTGCTGTTTGCACGTAGGGCGTTGTGCCCGCCGCTACGACGTAATCGAATCTTTCAATTTCCGTACGACGAGAAAATTGCCGGTCTGTTTCGCGTACGTGATCGATAAGCCCCGTTGCAAAGTGCCTGCGAATGGCTCTACCTGTTTACCAAAGACCTCCTAACAATAATATTTGTTGCCACGGTAATGGAAAACGCTTGGTTATCACAGGTGATTAGCATGTTTCGATTTGTTTTACATTGTGACGGTGGTGTATGTTTGTGAGGGGCAGGACCTGGGCATTCGTGTGCACGGTGTTGTGATGATTCATGTTCTCAAAGTCGATGCTTCAATTTGACTTAGAAATTTAGGAAATGTAGGAAACTGGAGTTTCGGGAAATTGTAGAACTTTTAACTACTTCGCAAAGCTGAGAATTTAGGTGTTTTGTGAAATTGGAAATGTATTTTGTAACACTGACTATTCAACTATTTGACAAATTTAAGAATTTAGATATATGAACATTTAGGAAATAGAACATAAAAAGTACAAATTTAGAAATGAATAATTTATAAGTTTCTGATCAAAGAATTTGCAAACCCAAAATTTGTATACGATCTACAATAATATTAAAATTAGAAGAACAAATATTAATTAAATGGAATTTGCAATTATCGATACAAAGGTAAAAATGGCGGTACAATGTCTGCAACAGCTATTCGACACGGATCGAGATGGTATTTCAAAACGTTTCTACGAACGAGAACGCGTGCCATTAATTCCGAGACTCTTTCTAGACGGCATTCTATTAACCTGTATTTTCATGAGCGCGTCACCTGTTCAGTTCCACGCAGAACGACACGATGTCGAATCGGACCAGCCCGCTTTCCTTGAACCTGCGGATACCGCAGCCATTGACCGCGGCATATTCCTACGCTCCGTAACGAAAGGACCTAAGTGCGGTCATTCTCTATTCCTCTTCTCTCTCTTTCCCTCTCAAACTCTCCCTTCTTCCTCCCCACACCCATGCTTCTCTCTTTTTTTCTCTCATAACCTCGTCGTGTCTATCTGCACCCATGGTGTCCCTAACTCATTTGAATATCACAGTGACGCCCTCCACTTATCGAAGACCACCATTATAAATTCTGCCGAATTTTATCAACCACATTTTTCACAAAAATCTAAGCACCTTTTATCTACGCAAATGTATTGCAATATTTCTGTTCTTATCATTTAACGATACTTCATGACATAAGGTGTATAATAAATTATCTTTCCACAGTAAGTTTCAACCGTGACAAATTAAGCAACTAAAATTTGTTAACCATCCTCGACGCTATTTCATAATTCCGTAAATAACTAAGGTAAATAAAAATAGCAAGGTACAGGAATGAGAGAAATACAGGTACCAGTAGGAATATTTTATCAATAGAACGCGTGCGAGCGGTACGCTCCTTGGTTCCGGTCGATAAGCAGCTTAGTCATTCCGCATTAATTTCAGTCGCGTTACCCTCGGTATCTTTGACCCCTCTACGACTGGCATAGAGTGCATCCCCGTGTAGGAAATGGTTCTTGTCCCCTGCACACTGTCTGCCAGTGAGCGGCGAGCTCACAATCGATACATCTCTCAGGATCACCGCTGATTCGCGATCGAAAAATCTCGTTAGTCTTCGCAGATCGTTCCGTATCACGAACAGATAGTAAAGGCTACGATTATAATTCCCGATACGCGACCGATGCTATTTCCAAGCTGATACGCGCTGCTGCATTGGCGTAACTGGGATTCTTATCTGTCTAGATTTATTTATAACATTTCGCAATATATCACAAAGTTCGAGGATTCGCAACTTGGAAAATTTCAAAATAGGAATATTTTTTATGATCTGAAATTCTGATACATTGGTGTACATTGGATGTTCATTAAGACCTACAGATATTGTTCGAAGTCTAACTTGGCCCAAGGAATATTAGAAAATAAAGCAAATTTATCTGAAATTATTGTTATGATTTGAAATTCTCATACATTGGGATGTTCATTAAGACCTACAGATATTGTTTGAAGTCTAACTTGGTCCAAGGAATATTAGAAAATAAAGCAAATTTATTTGAAATTATTGTTATGATTTGAAATTCTCATACATTGGGATAAATTGGTATACATTGGATGTTCATTAAGACCTACAGATATTGTTAGAAGTCTAACTTGGTCCAAGGAATATTAGAAAATAAAGCAATTTTATCTGAAATTATTGTTATGATTTGAAATTCTCATGCATTGGGATAAATTGGTATACATTGGATGTTCATTAAGACCTACAGATATTGTTTGAAGTCTAACTTGGTCCAAGGAATATTAGGAAGTAAAGCAATTTTATCTTGGACAATATAAAACTTTAACCAGTAGTACAGAACAGAGAGCAGAATTTTCCCGCAACAGTCAGAGTGTATCGATAACAGTAATTTTTCCACGAGACGTACACGCCAGGAATGCGTTGCTGGTCAGCTAATTTCTTAACGTCCTTGCGATCCCAGGAAGTAACGTTCGAGAGGGTTTGTCTTAGCGTTCGTTGCTCCGTGTTCAGTGTCTCGAATATGGTGCTCATGTATGATTCATTAGCTGGGATCTCGGATGTAGGCCGCGGCCGGTGCTGAACGGAGCACGCCTGTAAAGCCCGTTTGAACTCTCTATTGTCATCGAAAAAGTAACTGTTCCAACGGATGACTGCCATAGAATCGTACGTTTTTCTTGGTACATAAGTCAAGCGTTGTTGGTAGCTGTCGACGTCCACGGAATTCGAGGCGACACACGATCGCCAGCCGGATAGCCGTGGAACGAAAGTCGATAAATTCCACGTAATCCCGTTTTCTATGGACACCTCGCCACTCATATCGAGCATCTACTTTTTCCCTTGAACCACTGCATCACCCGTATCGTCCAATCTAAAGCCGTTCCATGTTGCGTCGAAGATGATATAAAACCGCCAAATCCAAGCGGGAAATCCTCGATGGGTATTGCCAGACGTGCTTGTCTGAATCTACTGCGGTCATCTACCGCAGTGGTAATTGATTACTATCTGTAATCATTCCGATTGATTTGCTGTATTTTATACTTCTTGTGCTTGCAAATTTTAGCTCCTCCATCAACGCATTCACCTTAGGTGAACATCGATAGCTTGCCAAGAAAGCTTATTCGTATAGGTGTATTTTTATGATCTAAAACTGCTACAATTGTATAGAATAACATGGCTGTTGGAATAACGTTTATGATCAAAAAATGCTACAATTGTATAGAATAACATGGCCGTTGAAATAACATGAACGTAAAAGTACACGAAAAGAAGGTAAAGCGTAGGTACGTTAAAAGGTGATATCGCGCGAACAAGTGGAGAGACTAAACAAAGTTGAACGTTCGAGATGGCATTCGGAGGAGAACATTGTTTAACTGGAGCAAGCGGCGAAAAAAGGAAAAGAGGGAACGAGAATAACACGTCGACCGGTCGTCCTCTCTACTTTTCCAAGATAAGCGTGACACTTGGCGAGGCTGGCGGAAGAATAAGGCCATAGTCGCGGTCGTATTAGGCCGATGCGCGTTGCGTTGTTAGAAGTGCATTCACACGCGGCCATGCAACTACGGTCTCGCGATGCGCTCGATAGGAGGCTGCGTGCGATACAGCCGGAGCGTCGTTGTTGCAACCGGCGTTACGTTTTGCCTGTATCCGTGACAGGGAGCCAGGGACGCGAATCCGGTAACGGAGAGCTGCAAAGTGAAACTCGTCGAAGGTTTCCTATAGGGTTACACGGCCAATCCATGAGAGAGTGTCTGCCCTGTCTGCCCCCTTTATGCCCGCACCGAAACGAGTTTTACTCGTCGGATATCGGTTACCGCCAAGTCGAGCGTTTATTACTCCCATGGAACCCGGAAGATCGATCGATCGGAAGTGGTCCACGAGCTTCCAAACGTGCCTCACAAAATATCACCAAAGCTTTGAAACTCTGAACGTTGCACAGTTCATATCACATGTAGAATTCTCTACAACTGAGATTACGTAGCATAGGACTCTACATTCACTCTAAGGTTTCTTAGATTAATTTAGGATGATCCTAGTGCTACGAGGACTCCCTGGTATTCTGTAAGTTCTCTGGAGGATCTTGAAGTTCTCTGAATCCTCAGCACTTCCAAGATATTCTAGAATAATTTAGGATCATCTGAGAGCTCTCTAGATACCCTAAGTCCTCCATGGGATTCTCTGGGACATCCACCTTGATTTGTATGATTTCATATCCTCCTAGAATAGCAGTACTTCACAATTCCACTTCACGATTCCCACGAAGATTTTTCACTATTCGCAACGCTTCGATTAACATCTACATGAACGATACACTAGGCTACCTCTAGAGTCTCAAAACTCAATGAACTCGGTATATCAGTATTAAACAGCGAACGACCGATACAACCATAAAATAGCATTAGTCGTATTTATCGACTATACTCTCCTTCATCTATTCCTTATTTAGAGTTAACAAAAGTTGTCCGTTGATCAATACACTTTCTATATCACCCGTAAACGGTTTATTTCGAGGCACGTTAACGAACAATCAAGTGATTGATTTAATCACTTCGTCTCCCGTTGGCGAATTAAGATCAATCGCGCTGAAACTGGAGACCCA